CCTTCCGGTTAACCCAAACTATTAGGTTGTTGCATAAGTTCTTTCCCCGACTTTTTGTAAATATCTCAATAGCGAACCAGCCTGAAGATTAGAGGTATGCACCATCACCATCCACTACTCGACGCCAACGCTCAGGCAGCTTGTCGATTCCATCGTCCCAGAAGGACGGGGGCTGGGACCCGAAGAAGGCCACAATCACCACTGTGACATGGTTTTGCACTGGTAATTGTGCGGCATTGTAGCCTGCAAATGCAGGGTGGGTGAGTGATAGCTAGTGGTGAAAGAGTATCATGTACACGTCACGCACACGTGATGACGAAATACCAACCTCCATGCAAACGAAATACGGAAGGATCAAAACAGGGGGAAAAACTTATGCAACAACCTAATATTACCAGTTTATGGATGGCGTGCAGCCTTCTAGCGAAAGGGGCGGCTGTACCATCGAGCGCGAGCTTGGCCTATTTTATCGCTAACATTCCAGGCCAATTGTAACTGCAGAATCCTGCGAAGTAAGGGGGTACTGTTGGTGAGTAATAGTGGTACTGGCAAGCTTGTGACACCTTGAAGGCACTGACTGACTTGAGAGCGTTTTGCTGGTTCCCATGGAACCCTGACGATGTCTCGTGTGGAGATCTGCAAATTTCTGTTGAGATGTGCAGGAACTTCGCTTACGCATTGCAGGAGTGTTCAGGTCAATCTAACAGGAACTATCAAATGAAAAAACACATGTGCAGAACACCCCTCTAAGGTCAAACTGCCCCGTCTTTTAATCCTGAATGCTAAGCGGAAGAGCAGTCCAGTATGCACTATATAGGTTGATTTCTTCCATAAGGTCTCGCAACCTGAGCTGACTCGACATTATGAAAAACTTACCTTCAGCGCTTTAGATCATTTATTCATATTCTTTTTATTGTTTATTTTTATTTTTTGGAACGTTTCAAAGCAACTTCTCGCGTTTTCATTACAGTTAGCAGTATTTGGCGCCATCTATGCCGGCGGTATTCGAAGAAAACGTCAATGTAATGATGATTTCTTTTGCTTTACTATTTCAGTTTCAAAAGTTGAATTTCTGCATTCCAGCATTTGGCTGCTCAAATACAGGAATCACTGATTCTGTCAGACTGCTGTTTCTGAACGCTCACAACGATGCTCGGTTGAGTGTGGCAAAAGGCTTGGAGCCGAATAAATGTGGAACACTACCATCTGCTAAGAACATGTATAAATTGGTCAGATTTATTATTTTCTAGAATGCACTTAAAACAATTAAGGAAGCATGCGTTTGTCTAATACAAACTTCGGAACCAACTTTGGCAGATTTCTTGTTCGGCAAGTGACGGACGAGGTCTTAGCATGCAAGCCAAGCCTCTACACTGCCGTTATGCACCATTTTTGAAAAGTGGGCGGGGCTTCTTCGAAGTGGGCGGAGCCTCTCACACTTCGCGGGGCTCACGTAGCAGCCCAAAAATGCAAACTTTGGAAAAAATAGTGGCCGAGAGGCGGGGCCTAAAGTGCCAGTGCATTAAACTGTAGAGTATCTATGTTGTGCCAAAGATTGGATGGTGAAATTAAAAAGTTGAAAAAAGTCATGAAATTTCAAAGTTCGCAACGAACCCTTCAAAGAATGGACGGAGTCGGCCATGTGTACGTGTTGAGAATCTATCGTCCGCGCTGACAAGTAGGCGTGACCGTAGGGCGGGGCTCGCAGTGATGTCTATCGTGATCTGATTGATGAACTGCCCGATCTAAAAAGAGTGGTGGATTTGATTTGAAAAGTGGTGAATTTCCTTTGAAAGGTGGTGAATATGGTTTGACAAGTGGTGAATTTGGTTTGAAAAAAAAGGTGAATTTGGTTTGAGAAGTGGTGAATTCAAATGAAAATGGTATATTATCGCAATCACTCGGGAGGTGTGACGAAAGCGGGATAATCCCGCCTCTACTGCCTTGCTCTACCAATGGTGAACGGCTAGTGATCGATTTCTGAAGAAAAAACCAATGGTGGAAACGCCGGAGGAGGGACCGACTGATTGCGAGAAGAGTATTAGTAATATCGACTGTAGATTATAGAAAGGGCATAATCCCCCCAACGCCCACTCAACAGCGATATTTCGGGAAAATACGTTGTGGGCAATTGTACAGATGGAGAGAAGTTCTCTCTCGAGGGCTGCTAGAAATATTGACGAACATAAAAGTATTATACTTGCGTAGTATAAAACAAATTACTGAAGAGCGAACTTTTCAGCAGTGGACTGCTCCCTTGAACAGCAAGCACAGGACTATATTTCTACTTGTCCAACATCCTTGGGATCATTTAGTGGTTTGTCGCAGAATATTCAAACGTGAGTCCATGAATTTCCGTCCAGCTATCGAAACTTACCTTTCTCTGTTTTTTTCGTCAAAAAATTCTCCTGGCCATTGTTCCACAAACATTTGTTGAACTCCATATCCCTGTAATCGGAATTCCAGATACGATCACAGTGCTCATAGAACCTTTCCGCTTACTTTGAATTACGCGCAGCCTCTGTTCCGTCAGGAATCAATACCGTCAAATTTGCTGACGAACATTGACGCTGGTTATCCTTTAGCGCCACCTTTTCCTAGACCTTTACCTGGCCTACTGCTACCAAGATCTTTAATATTAAAGTTGCTCAAGTAGATAGAAGTTCCAGATTATTCATTTGATTTAGCTACAATGGAATAACTTCCTCGACGGATGTGGCCGCGTTAGTGGCACAGACGTTATCGACATGGTGGGGAAAGGTCCGTCAGTATGGCAGCACGGATCCAGAGAACAGATACGTCGATAGCAACCTTTATACATTTGCCAATGTAAGTTGCTAGTAATGCGCATGTTCGTGTAAACCGGTGAGAAATCTAAAAAGAAGCGCGTAGTCGGATGAGCTGGGGAAAATAAGCGGGAGCTGTATCTTTTTTGATCGCGAGCAGAGCACGCCAAAGAGGCGCAACACGCCACACTGTGCCTAGCCAGATCCAGTCGCACTATCTGTCTGCTCCTTCTCTGTCCTGTCATCGGTCTAATTGGCTGGAGCGTCGATGTTCTCCACAGCTCGGCTTCGGCAACGCATACCGCGACGACTGAGGGGCGCAGTTTGGCGACGGGGGGGGGGGGGCATTTTGCACTATCATTGCTTCCTCAGTTCCGGTTTACTCACTCTGGCGAAACCTGTGAACTCTTGTGAAGCTGGAGCAAGGTCGTCAAGCCATCATGTTAAAACCTGTCAACTCGAGAAGAGGCTGTCTAGATAGGTCGACACGTCGATGGGAAGTAGCAAAAGTGCAAAATGCCCCCCGTTGCTGAACTGCGCCCGATTAAAGATTGAGGAAAGCGAACATCTCGGCAACACGCCCGCCAGCTGCGGCATGCACACAGTAGGCAGCCATTTCTAGAGGGTTCTTGGAAATGCGGTTTCTCCGCTTCTAGCTCTCCACATTTCGGATGGTGACAGCAGGGCGAATAAGGAAGAAAGAATTGGCACCAACAAGCGAAAACTCGTCCGGCCACGCCCATTCTAAACCTTATACACGTGCGAGCGCGATTCACATGGGACTCTATACGGGATATTTCGAGCTGGTTATCTGCAGTATTTTCTTATCTGCTATATTACCTATAACCCCTCGATAAGTATATGAGTCGTGCAACTAACCTTCCAAACGCCGAGAGTGCCTTTGAACCCATTTCCAAGGGACAAAAATGATGCACTTCCACAGCTGTGAGCTACTCCTAGTCGTCTATGGTAGCGATTAACCTGACAGAAAAGGGTAAAGTGTGTCTTTGGGTTGGATTTTGTACTAACGCCGTTCCTCTGCTGTTGTTGTAAAGCACTTGACCGCAGTAAATAGATAAATAAACAAAAATGCAAAAATGTCATAAAAAACATGGTTATGGGGAAGAAGGTCCTTCTTGAAGACAAACTACTATATTCTACTGTCCTTCTAGATGGTGCATTCAAAAATGACTGCGATTGGCTGCACGTACAATGTTTGCGGTGGCACAAAACTTACCATTACTTGCCTCTACGATAAGATGTGAGTTTTGAAAATTAACTGTAAAATAAGTTTTTCACAAAATACCCTGACCTGCCCAGCCCTTGTGAATTGAATATGCCAGGATAGCCAGGGTGTTGGGGGAAAATCGTCGCCCGTGCGAGATCCCCTTTTCTATTCAACCAACCTTCAACTAATTCTGTGAGCGGAAAGGGCAAGGGTGAGATAAAAAAATAGGAGCTTCACCACTCCTTAAATACACCAAGGATTTCCAACGATAAACAGAGCACCCTTTTCACAGCACATGTAGTACTTTTCAAATTGGAGAGGCCCTTAAGGAAGCAGTGGCTGTTATTGGTGATCACATGTGGTTCACCAGTCACAGGCGCGCATCACAGACCCAGCCACAATCTAGTAATCTCTGGTTCAATTAGTTGTTGAGGTTAATCAGTTTGCAGAGGCTACTACACCAATGGTGTGATGTGGGAGAACGGCACTGTTTGCACCTCGGATTCCGACTGTACTACCTACCCTGGCTCAACTTGTTCTGGAGAACTTTGTTTCAAGGAAATCGAAGTGCCAGGTATGAATATAGACTCTTTCGAGTAGATATTGAATAGCGTAGACATGGAAACTCGTCAGTACCCCAGAATTTAGCCTGCCCAAACATCGTGATTACTGCAAGAAGGGCGTTTTACTGTGGTATTCTACAATTCGTCTGGCTTATTCCGATAACGAGCGAGACTGCTAAAGTGGTTGCTAGATTCGAAAGCACGAACAATACTTGCTGAAGAGGGATTGTAATCAGAGGGAGGGGGGCGGCGGACATGGTGATTTATAAGCTTACCGGCTATACAGGGGGAGCAAAAAAAAAATCACTTCGACCGAGTACAGAGGATGTGATACGAGTACCAGGGCGGAAGATACCCAAGATGTTCCTCGATAAGCAGGAGCTGGCTCTTGCCCATCACCTTCACGTACACCAAAATATGAAGTCATCTCCATTTGCAGCCTGAGTGGAGAATCTTGGAATTCATGTCACCCCAAATAGCTACAAAACTTCCAGTATAAAGTCAGCCATGGGTAGCTACCTGAAGACAATTACTCTCGATCTGGAAGACCTCCAACATCGAGCAGCTCCGACAACGTCGCTACGGTCTAGGACATCATCTTCACCGCAGTCGCCAAGGCGCCGGTTGATGGTGGGGACCGGACGTACCTGGAATGGAAAGACCGATATTTTCTTCGTGGACCCCGGACTGAAGGTGAGCGCTGGCGGTTGCATCAAGTAACTCGAGGGGAATGTCTTCCCTACATGACTTGTCGCCACCGCACCATCTTGGAAACTTTGTACTGCTACAGGTTCGGGTGCCACCACATGGAATCGAGATGGTTTGGAAAAACTCTCGCCTGCTTGGAATGGAATAGTGTTGAGTACCTGAAGAAGATGGAATATCTAAGGGTGTCACCTGACCTAAGCCCCTCAATTACCCGGTTCGGGCGGAGCTCAACAGAGTGGCCTACAGTGGCGGAGAGCTCAACTATCTCGCCAAACAGGCACCGAATCACGGTCGCGGCAGAATCTCTCGATGGCGCTCCTCCAGAAGGCTGTGGCGGAGTATCATAATAGTATTTAATATGCTCTTTAATATGGTGGTAGAAATGTCCGATCAGAATTTAATAAAGTGTAACTTATAGCGCCTCGAAAGTCAAGGAAGAAAAGTGACTTTTTTTGCCCCCCCCCTGTATATTCCTAATTAGGAGTAGCCACGCTCAACGAAATAGACGTTGAAAACAGGGATCACCAACGCAGCGCTCGCACCAGGACCAGTCCTTTCAATGTGGCAGCGCTGCGGCGTGTTTACGCGTTCACTGTTCCCATGCCTTTCGAGACGACAAGCTTGGTAGTTCTACCAGTGGTGGTTTTCTTGTGGAACCAATCACTAACTGATCACTACTTGGTAGAATGCAGCCAGGGCGGGCTCAAACCATCCATGTTGGAAATCCCTCGCATCCTGGCCCTGCCCCAAGATTGCGACGATATCAACTATAACCGAGAATAATTTAAGAATTGTTTATTATACAGACCCTGGTACTAACACGATGTGTCCGTCGAACGCCAACATGACTGATGCCACAAGACAGAAATTTCCTGGATACACACAACTACCTCAGGTTTCATTTTCTTTTGAAAACCTTAGAATAATGCAGTCACAGTGATTTACTTTTCGCACCGCCAAAATTCAATTTCTTAAAGGTCGCGTGTCGCCAATGGACTAGAACCGGATGCACTTGGTGGAAATGCCCCAAAAGCTTCGCAAATGCTGAAAATGGTGAGCATTTCTTGCTTTCTTCTCCACTGCAAGACCTGTCATTGAGGCACGCTCCACGTGTTTTACGTGGGTGTGGTCGGGCCTACCACAGCACTTTCTAATTGGTGTGATCCTTCTGTTCCCGGTATCAGAAAAGCGAGATATCCCCAAGGTCGAAGGTGCAATGGTGGACCAAGCTCTCCCTATAAGAGAAGTACGCCAAGAATGTGACTCAGATCC